GAAACATTCTGAAAATGTTTTCAGGATGTTATTCTTTTTGTATAAAACGTTCCTGTTATGGCAAATATTAACACGGTCATGGTCAATGTCAGATTTATTTCTAGAGCGCTTTAAAACAAATGCATAATTTATTTAACATCAACCATGTTATCCTTCTCTAAAACAATAACATTCTGGCAACATAAAAAATCTAACTTGCAGCTGGAAATGTTTTAAGACCAGTAGGGCATAATGTTCTAACAATGTTATCAAAAACATTTTAAGAATGTTTTTAGAGAACGTTATCCTACCTTTCAGAAGAACATTCTGGGAACCAAAATAAAAGCTTCTGGCGAAAACGTTTTATGAACAGTAGGGCATAATGTTCTAACAATGTTTTCAAAAACATTTTAAGAAGGTTATCACCAAACATTTTAAGAATGTTTTTAGAGAACGTTATCCTACCTTTCAGAAGAACGTTCTGGAAACCAAACAAAAACTTCCCGCTGAAAACGTTTTAAGAATAGGAGGGCATAATGTTCTAACAATGTTATCACCAAACATTTTAAGAATGTTTTTAGAGAACGTTATCCTACCTTTCAGAAGAACGTTCTGGGAACCAAACAATAAAAACTTCTGCTGAAAACATTTTAAGAACAGTAGGGCATAATGTTCTAACAATGTTTTCAAAAACATTTTAAGAAGGTTATCACCAAACATTTTAAGAATGTTTTTAGAGAACGTTATCCTACCTTTCAGAAGAACGTTCTGGAAACCAAACAAAAACTTCCCGCTGAAAACGTTTTAAGAATAGGAGGGCATAATGTTCTAACAATGTTATCACCAAACATTTTAAGAATGTTTTTAGAGAACGTTATCCTACCTTTCAGAAGAACGTTCTGGGAACCAAACAAAAACTTCCCGCTGAAAACCTTCCTAGAACAATGACTGTAACATTCTCAGAATGTTTTTAGAACCAAACATTTCTAGCTGGGATGGCTGTATGGGGAAAGCAGCGACATAAATGGTGACGTAATCGGGCTTTAAATTGGTTGGAAAGCAAACAGTTCTCTTCTGTTGAAGAGTTGAACCTCAAATTGTTCACTTGCCCCAACGCAAGAGTTTAGGGTTTTGATGTCAATCAATGAGGTCAACCGGGATCAGAGTGGAATTGCCTTAAAACTCTACAGCGGCAGAGTGCAATACACAGAATATTTCTCAAATTGCTTTACTGAGTGTCTACACCAACAGCTTAAGAAGTATATTTGCAAAGGTGTGTCATATATTAACAGAAGGTATGCTTAAAAAGAGAGTCTCAGTCTGTGTCTCAGAAAGAGGGTGAATACAGGTATATTCAGACAGAAGGTGGGCGATTTATGTGTACAAAACTATTTCTGTGTATTTATTTAATTATTTATAGTGGCACTGCGTTTCTTTGTCATTATAGATGAACTCACTGCAGTTTATTTAACAGTAAAAGCATCAATTTCAATTAATCCGTCAGCAACTGACACCTCTGACAGAAGATGGTAGTCTTGAGTTGAAACATAGATTATTTATTAAAATGATAAAGAGTAATATTAACTTTATCATTTTGACAGACCTCAATGGGAATGATGTGAAAGTGCAGTGTCGTTTCTTTCACCACTCAGTTTGCCAGCACACGATTATCCTAGAAAAATGACATCTTCTACTTTGTGACCAAGGATCATGCCTATTGATTTTAATTCAGGCTTTTCCAAAGTTGACACAGCAATTGGAGAAGCAGACAAAAACACCACTCGGCGTGGTTTGGATATGTGTAGGTGAAAGGATATCTAGCTGTCTGTTAAAACTGCCAGAGGTTTGTAGTTGAAAGGAAAGTATCATTAACTTCTGTTAGACAGCTATATGCCATACATTTTGCATACATTCACAGTAAATATTTATTCAGTATGATTGCTGTCCAACAGAAGTTAAATCCATTTCTCACTTATTCTGACAATGTACTTAACCCCAAATAAAAGAACCCAATAAAAAGAGTTGTTAAATAATAGTGAAGTCACGTTGTAATAACAATAACTCATCCCTCTCGAGTTTTCTTTTTGAGCTTTGCCAAAAGCCACTGTGTCAAGTGTCTTACTTGGATTGCCGTCCGGAGTTGTCCAATATGGCAGACCATCTCGCACATGCGCACTGCAGATCGGGAAGGGGGACAGATCGGTTAGTGACACCCTGGCTTTTAACATGGGACTGAAATGGGGCTAGAAAGTACGAGCCTCCCTTTGGGCAGGTCTAGCCACAGGTCTCTGGCCTTTGATTATGTTCTGGCCCGCCATCTAGTGGCTCAAAAAAAATTGCCGACCCCTGACCTAGAGGGTTACAGTTTCATAAAACAGACTATTTCCCAGCTAAGGAGAGAAAGACACGTAAAAAGTACAAGCGAGACAAAACAGAGACAAACACACAGTGGGATAAGTGGAGAAAAGACAGATTGACAGAGGGAGAGAGAGACAGAGGGGAAAGGCGTCAGTGTGGAGAGGATTTATGAGTGGGGCCTGTCTGTTGGCTGTGGGCCTGGTCCCTCTGTGGTCCACTCCTCTGTAATATTCACCGCTCTTCAGGCTCCCATGTGTCTGCCTGTGGCTGCAATGTACACACATGCACAACCTTGCACGCACACGAATACTGTACAAACCGGAGTCAATGCGTGCACATATAGACTGCTCACCCCTGAGGAATCCAGTCACTGTACAATTACCCTTCTGCCGTGTCATTGGACAGTTAACATCTGCTCCCGCTTTTGTCTTCTTCTCAGTCCCCACCTCCTTGTGTCTGTTCGTCTCAGTGTGCTTATTATCCAGACTGTCCACCTGACCCTATACGTGCAGACGTCAGGGACTGAAACGCCACAGACCGCGAGTCAGATCATCTGACTGTCAATTCATTTAACTGGAATTTCCCAAAACAAGCCGCTTTATTTGAGTTTGGACCAAGATGAGCGAGCAACATTGTTTGACAGATCACAAAAGAAACTCAGTACACAATTAAGTCTCTGTATGTCAAGGGAATGGGAAGGAGGTTTTTAAGAGGCCCGATTATGCTTTCTGGGGGTTTCCCTTGAAGTTTCCCTGAAGTGTGTTATATGGGTTTTTCTGCATGTCAATGGTCTGGAAAGGCTACAATCCCAACGTTCCCTCCAGAGGGAGTTTCTGTCTCACACACTATGGCTGAAATGCCTCCATTGGACTCCTTTGTTTACTTCCATAATATAGCGACATCCCTATGTAACACTTGCACTTCTTTTGGCTGGCGCTCCAACACATTGTACGTGATCGGCTAAAGGGCGGTACATCTCTAAGCGGTCACCAATCACAACAGAGCAGGCCAGCTAACCAATCAGAGCAGACTGGGCTCTGGTTTCAGACAGAGGGTGAAAAGAGGTGCTGTAGCACAGGCAGTATGAGACAAATAAAGAGCTTTTTGTACATTAAAGCATGGAAACATGTCACAGTAGAGGAACATAATAGAAATATGACCCCGAAAATGAGCTCGATATGTCCTCTTTAAAGCCCCTGTCACACTGTCCCGAAATTGACACCCGATGGACACACGATTAAGGAAATGTTCAAATTCGGCTCTGATCGTTAAAACATCGGGCCATTCGTGAGGGCATCTTAAGCCATCGTATGACCGCCGGTGGAGTTTCTCAGGCTCCGGCAGCAACTTCGTGAGCGGCAACTTTGTACAGCACTCGTGAGGGCATCTTGTCAAATCGTGAGGGCATCTTGTTATCATCGGTGATAACAAGATGCTCTCACGATGGCCTTACGAAGGGCAAAATTGACACACGAATTCAACACGAAAATGAACCTTCGCAAGGTCCTTCGNTGTGTGTGTGTGTGTGTGTGTGTGTGTGTGTGTGTGTGTGTGTGTGTGAGTGATAGTGCACTGATACTGGAGCGGGCCAAAACACCTGAGAACGGAGGCCCTCACACACACACACACACACACACACACACACACACACACACACACACACACACACACACACACACACACACACACACACACACACACGCACACACACACACACACACACACACACACACACACACACACACACACACACACACACACACACACACACACACACACACACACACACACACACACACACACACACACACACACACACACACACACAGGTCAGGCAACCACACACTGAGAGATGAAGGAAGCATACACATGTCCACACTCACATGCAGAGTTAAAATAAGAACACACACACACACACACACACACACACACACA